TTTTTTTCCTGCTTCCATATCTGAACACTATGCTGGCACGATGCATTATGGGGGTGGTATAGAATTTTTTTCCAGGGCTGCTTTTTATTCCCAGGCCAGCTCTGCTTACAAGGAAAGTTTGTGGAGGGCCTCCATGCTTTTTGTAAACAAGCCACACCTAAATTAAATTATTCTCACAAAAAGCGTAAATGTTTTTGTTAGTTCCATGCACAATATGTGATTTTGCTTCAAATGTTTAATCGGCCTGTTACCATGTTAGTAGACTGTAAACAATTAAAAAGTTCACTTCATGTTGTGCCAAAACACCCACAATTTTGCAAGCAGGGTTTAGATATAACGTTTAAATACTTATTTTTTGTTTTTATTTATTTTTATTTTATTTTTACGTTTACTTACTTAATTAAAACTGATTCAATGTAATATTTTCTTAAAAGCCATGTATGTATTTAAGTATGAGTATCAATCATTCTATCTCTCAGATTTAATTCTGAGGTTCAATTGATAACAACACAAAGATTAATTAAAAACCTACATAGAAAATAGACAGAGAGATGTATAATTTATATATAAAATATTTTACCAGGAAAGATACATTGAGATTTCTCTCGTTTTCAAGTATGCCCTGGGTTTTTCACTCTGCTTCGTGTACTTCTTTTACAGTATCAAAAAGTAGATAGTCTTGCCCATCTTTGAAGAGTTGTATTTGTGAGCAGTGTTTGTGTGTTTGAAGGTTAGCATGTTTTTGTATGGAGTGTGTTAATGCAGGAGTGTATATTTATGTACTGTTGCCATTTGAATGTAGAGGTGTATTTGTAAGTAGTGTTGGCGTAGTGTTGATTTTTGAATGTAGGTATACATTTGTATGTAGTGTTGGTACTTGAGTGCCAGTTTACATTTGTTTGTAGTGTTGCATTTGATTGCAGGGGTATGTTTGTAGTGTTGGCATTTGAATACTGGTGTATTTGTATATATAGCGCTGGTGTTAAAATGCTGGTTTATATGGACACATACACATGCACTGCCACACACACTTACTAACACAGATACACATACACACTGCCACACACACACATGTACACACATACTAAGACAGACACACATACACACTGACACACCAGCAGATTCACACACAAATAGACATGCACACAAATGCACACACTGACACAAATACACACAAGTTTCTACTTTATTACTTTTTTTTAGCCACCCCTCTGCTTACATAATTGGATATGCAGGATGCTGGTTTTCCTGGTATTCAAATCTGGCTGCTGGCTGAGGCTTATGAGAGTTTATTCCAGGCTCTCTTCCTCCCTCCTTTCCTGCCTTTTCCTAGCCCATCACTTGTGATCAAACATTGATTGCAGCAGTAAAGTGAAATGATCTGCTTGTAATACCAGCATTGGTACAACCTAAAACATGGCCCAAACAAGAGCACTATAAAGTTGTACCTGAGCAGGGCCGGCCCAAGGCATTGGGCTACCTGGCTCAAAGGATGAAATGCTGCCCCCTCCACACACCATTCCCAATAAAACCACACCAAGCAAAACATGCCCATACCTATTATGTTATGCAGTGTGTGTAGTGAATGCAGTGTCTGTGTAGTGGATGCAGAGTGTATATTTGTGTAGTGGCTGTGTATTGCATGCAGTGTGTGTAGTGGATGCAGTGTGTGTGTGTGTGTGTATGTGTATATAGTGGATGAAGTGTGTGTGTGTGTGTATAGTGGATGCAGTGTGTGTATGTGTATATAGTGGATGCAGTGTCTGTGTTAGTGCAGTGCATGGAGTGTATATTTGTGTTGTTGAAGCGTGCAGTTTTATTTTAAATGTTTAACTCATCCACCCACCCCCCCTCCCTGCCTCTTACCTGTGGGCAGGGAGGTGGGATACATGATTCCATGGTGGTCAAGTGGAGCTAGAGGACAGTGAAGAGGGGGCCCTGAGAGTAATCTTAATCCTCCAGCAGCAGCCAGTATTCTTCTCTCGCGAGCTGTGAGAGCGTTGCCATGGGTTGCCATTGCAATGCTCTGGCATGCATTGCTTGCCGCGCGGAGCATTTCCATGGCAACCCATGGCTGCTGCTGGAGGTGTAAGATTACACGCAGGGCTCCCTCTTCACTATCCTCCAGCAGGAGCTTGGAACTGCACATATATATAGAGGTATTCGCTGTATATGTGCAAATAGGCGGCCCGGGCCCTGCCCTACACATTTCTTAAAGGTACAGGGGTAGCAAAATACTGCCCCTGTCACAGTGCCGTCTGGAGCTGTGGCCCCACTGGGGCCAGTGGGCAGGCCGTGCTGTACAAAGGCGAGCAATGAAGCATGGAACCAGTCAAAACAGATCTAAAATAATAAAAACTTATAGTGCATTATACACATTGTACATTGCTAGCTTCATCAGGGCCCAGAAGAATGTGTTTTGTGTATGTCTTTTAAGGGATTTAATTTCACAGTGGCTATATACATATGTAGGATATTTATACATTTTTTTTTATTTTTTTTTTATGTTTCCACAAATAGTGCAGTGGTTCTATTGAAAACCATCGTACACCCGATGTATATTCAATCGCACTACATTTGACCATTGCCAATCACTCTCAAAGAGTTAACACCAGAAATTTCCATGATATAATTGTCACATTGATAGAAAAAGAAAAAAAATATATAAAGATATAAATAATTATAATACAAATAATACATCCTCTGAGACTCGATAAGGGGGAACCACAATATGTCATCATGAATTCTGTCTGTTTGTCCAGGGTAACCATAGTTTGGCCACATCACTAATACCAAAAAAGGGATTTAATTTCATCCTATATTGATAATCTATTTTCTCCATAATATTACGCCATATTAATGGGATAGAAGATTTCCAAGCCCTAGCTATACATATTTTAATGGCAAAAAATATATGAGTCAAGAGATATTTTTGATATTTATCCTGCGAAGGGAAGCCAATGTTAAAGAGAAAAAGTTGAGGGCTAATTTCTTTTATCTCCTTAAAATCAAGAATTAATAAGGCCAAGCATTTGAGTTTTTATATTATCAAGACTGTGACATTCCCACCATATATGGTAAATAGTGCCCTCCTCCTTTCCACATCTCCAACAATTCTTAGAATGGGCAGATGATATCTTATATAGTCTAGCCGGTACCATATACCACCTATATATTATCTTTAAATGTGTTTCATAAAGAGAGACACTATGTGTACTACGTTTAACCAGGAGTGTAGCTTTGGTCCATTCCAGAAGTGAAAAGGATTCCCCAATATCTTGTTCCCATTTAACAAAGGAGGTAGCATGAGAGTCTTGTTCCATTGATTCTAGCACCTTGATAAATCTAGAGATCCCTCCCTTCTTTTTATATAATATAATAAGGGGGTCAACGTTGTGGTCCTTAAGTATAGTCCGAGATAGTATAAAATTCTTAATCCTTAGATATTGGAAAAGATCTCTAGGGGAAAGATTAAACTTTTCTTGCAATTGTAAAAATGGGATGGGTTTAAATCCATACCATAAATCCGAGATCTTCACTATACCTAGATGTATCCAAGGATGAACATTTATATTTTCCATTATATGTTGTAGGACCACTAGTGGAACTCTATATAATAATTTATCTTCTAACTTCAATTTCTTATTTAGAATTCTAGAAGTATTGATCATATCTATCAATATCCGGTTCGAAAAATTCTTGGTATCCAATTCACCCAAATTTAACAAACCCATCCAAAAAAGAACAAACAATTTATGTCTAGGGCTATCCTCCTGTTCTAGGGTAAGCCATGATATGGATCCCTGTTCCTTGTCTAGCCACTGTAAAATATGAGTCGCCATACATGCTTCGTGAATTTTATCAACATCTGGAAATGCTATACCACCCTTCTGATAGCTCCTTCGAAGAGGGTGCAAAAGCTATCCTAGGTGGTTTTTTTGCCCAAATGCATTTAGAAATCAAAGTTTGAAAACGATTAAGAATACCTTTCCCCAATCTATAAGGAATCGCCCTAAAGTAATATATAAGTTTAGGTATCAGAAATGCCTTGGTCTATTGCCTTGGATATTTATTAATTTAGCCATTCTAATGTTAAGTTCTTCACTGTTTAATGCCTGCTCTTCCCACAATATGGTTGAAATACTATTCACCCGTGATAGTTTAGGATAACTAAATACAACGATGGTTGAAGAATATCTCAGAATATTCCAATGTATGAATACCCCCAGGGCCGTCTTTAGCGCGGGGCAAACGGGGCAGCTGCCCCGGGCCCAGTTGGACCTGGGGGGGCCCCAGAGCAGCTGCCCCATGGGCCCCGCGATTTCAGCAGCCCCCATGTACCCGGCGGCAGGCGGTGCAGCCGCACCGGCCCGCCAACTAAGGAGGCCCCCGGGTGGCCCATGCACTAAGGGCCACCCTGTGGGCATGTGGCAGAAGGGGCCCGGTCGGGCGCTGTGATGCTTAAACAGCGCGACCGGGCCCCTTCCTGTACCGGCTGGGAGGAAGTGAGTACCGCGTGTCACTTCCTCCCACCGGAGATAGCCGCGCGGGAGGAGGAAGGCAGGGAGGAGGGGAGTTCCAGAGAAGAACTCCCATCTGCCTCAGCCTGCCACTGGACCCCAGGGAAACCACCCTCCATAAAAAGGTAAGAACCTGGAGGGTGGCTAAATGTATGTCAGTATGTGTGTGTGTTAGTATGTCTGTGTGTGTTAGTATGTCTGTGTGTGTGTGTTTGTTAGTATGTCTGTGTGTGTGTTAGTATGCCTGTGTGTGTTAGTATGTCTGTGTGTGTTAGTATGTATGTGTGTGTGTTAGTATGTGTGTGTGTGTGTGTTAGTATGCCTGTGTGTGTTAGTATGTCTGTATGTGTGTGTGTTAGTATGTCTGTGTGTGTGTTTTAGTATGTGTGTGTGTTAGTATGTCTGTGTCTGTGTGTGTGCGTTAGTGTGTTAGTATGTGTTTGTGTGTTAGTATGTGTGTGTTAGTATGTCTGTGTCAGTATGTCTGTTTGTGTATGTATGTCAGTATGTCTGTGTGTGTCTATGACAGACATACTGACATACACACACAGACACACTGACATACACACACAGACACACTGACACATACACACACACTGACATACACACACACTGACATACACACACACACACATACTGACACACACACAGACATATACACACACAAACATACTGACATACACTCACAGACATACTGACATACACACACAGACATACTAACACACCACACAGACATACTAACACACACAGACATACTGTGTGTATGTCTGTGTGTTTGTATGTCAGTATGTCTGTGTGTGTATGTCAGTATGTCTCACTGTGTTCCAGTGTGTGTGTGTGTGTATGTCAGTATGTCTGTGTATGTCAATACGCCTGTCAGTGTATGTGTCTGTGTGTGTCTGTGTCAATATATCTGTCAGTGTATGTGTCTGTGAGTATGTATGTGTCTGTGTGTGTATCAGTATGTCTGAATGTGTGTCAATGTTTGCCAGTATATATTTTTGTGTCAGTGTATGTGTGTGTCAGTATGTATCTGCGAATGTTTTAATGTGTCTGTCTGTGTTTGTATGTGTCAGTATGTCTGTCAGTGTGATTGCGGGTTGGGCGTAATGGGGAGGGAGGGTGCAGTGACAGGGGCCCAAGAAAAGGCTTTGCCCGGGGTCCTATTCATATTATAGACGGCCCTGAATACCCCTGTGTACCGATTGATATTAAACAATGCACCATGCACTTGAAATTAAAGTTTTAAAATACATCTCTTAATACACAGTAATCTGCTCAGTGTGTTGGGGAAGACTTCATAAATCAAATGCCTGGTGACTTTCAGTGCCAAAAAGGCAACAGTTACACAAGCTTATGTAAGTAGTCCATTTCCAGATCCTCATACACTATTTATCACAATCGATGTACATACAGTAAATGGAGGGAAATTGAGCCTTGAATTTAAAGACTAATTACAGCCTCAGGAAGAAAAATGTAATGTGAACAATTTCATGTGAATTTCTCAGTGTGTGAAATCAGAAATGTATGAATGCATACAATCTAAACACTGTATAATAACAATGATTATATAAAAATATGTTACAGTTTAGGGCACATGTGTGCACCTTTTCAGTTCCATCAGTGGCACAAAAAAAGAGAGATGATACATAGAAAAAAAGGCCATTTATGGTGACAGGCACTAAGTGTTGCTTTTATTCACTGATCAAGTGTGAAGTAACAAGTAGAAAAACAAAAGTAGTACAATAAAATTATATATATATATATATATATATATACTTGGAGTTGGGGGGCGTTTTTTATTTTTTTGTCGGCCTGTATCTACCACTTCCAGTTCCTGGTTTACATTTTTTTTTTCAAGCTTTGAGCAGTTTTCTGGTCACTGTTCTGTTGCCATTCTAAATATTTCTCACCCAACTCCACAAGGGGGTCACTTTTTTACAATTCCACCATATGTGAAGATAATCCCCTCTTGATTCTCCACATGTCCAACATAGGTGATCATTATCTGCTGATATTCTAGACATTCTAGAAGGTACTAAGTACCATTTATTTATCACCTTATAATGGATTTCCATTAAGTGTATACTGTGCACGTATTTATTTGCCTTAATTAATGTCTTGTACCATGTTTCTATATCTATGTTAATATGTAGGAGTTTCTCCCAGCTTTTTATTGCTGTTGGATAATTTTCTGTTACCCTAGTATCTAATAATTTAATACTCCTTGAGAATAGTTTTTTTGTTTCATTACTATCAAATATAGATTTGATTGCATTATACATATCTCCTTGATTCATAAAATTATACTTTTTTAAATAGCTGTTCACTCTTATTTATGAAAAGGCTTCTTGAGATAAAAGAGACGCTTCACTTCTTAATATATTAAAGGGTTTTACCTTATTATCCAAAGATATATCTTCTACCTTTATAATATTTCCTTCTTTCCATTTTTTTAGAGAAATATTAGGTATTTCTCTTTCAATGTGTTCTATATTTTAGAAACCGAAAATTTTGTTTTTAATTTCTAATTTCTTTTTTATCTTTTCCCAAATGGGAACTAGATGATTTAACACATAAGAGGTAGAATATTCACATATTTTGTTATTCCATACTATATTAGCTAACTTCTTATTTGACATATTTCGGATTCTAACCAGAACCACCCCTCTTTATATGTAGCTTCCTTCTGCAATATTGCTATATGTGAACTTATCCCCTCCTCGTAGTATTTTTCTATATTCGGATAACTTAGCCCACCTTTACTTATATGTTTACTTAGCGTATCTATTTTTATCCTGGGCTTTTTGCCTCTCCATACAAAATTAGCAAATGCATTTAATCATATTTATCCCTGGGATAGGAATTGTTAACGGCAACATCCTAAACAAGTATATCCATTTAGGAAGGACATAGGCTCTTAGGGTGTTGACTCTCCCCCACCATGATATTTCTACTTGGTGCCATTCCTTTAAATCTTTGTTGGTATTTTTTAAAAGGTGTAAGAAATTTGTTTCCATTAGTCTATTTATATGTTTATTTATTCTAATCCCTATATATACAAATTCTTCTGGTTGAGAGAAGCTATATTTGTTTTGGTATTCAATTATTTTACTTGATTCTACATTTTTGTACATTGCAATCGATTTTGTCATATTTAATTTATAGTTTGATACATTACTGTATAATTCGATTTCTGCCATTAATTGAGGTTAGAGAATTTTCTAAGTCTTTAACATATAGAAGGGTATCGTCTGCGTATAGTGATATTCTTATGTCTCCATTAGATGTGTTAAGGCCCTTTATTAACTGATTTTGTCTTATTTTTAAAGCAAACATTTCTACTGTAATGATGTATAGGATTGGAGACAGGGGACATCCCTGCCTCGTTCCGTTTTCTAGTCCAAACCAGGTAGAACATATATTTTGGCCTATAGATCGTGCTGATGGATTAGCATACAAAGCGCCTATCGCCTCCAACATCCACCCTGAGATACTGAATGCTTCCAAGGCCTTAAACATGAATCCCCAGCTGAGCCTGTCAAATGCTTTCTCTGCGTCTAGAGACAAGATCAGCAAGGGATCGTTATTTCTGTCCGACATATCCATTGCATCTATCAGCCTCCTCACACTATTTCCTGAATTTCTCCCAGGGATAAATCTGCATTGATCTGGGTTGATAATTTCAGGCAGTATTGTTTTTAATCTCTTGGCAATAATTGATGCAAACAGCATCAATTTTATTAACATTTATTAAGAAAATCGGTCTGTAATTTTTCACTTCCGTTGTTGTTTTCCCAGGTTTTAATATTGGCAAGATGTTTGCCTTCAACATTTCTTGTGGAAATGCCCCCTTTTTTATAGCGTCATTAAAAGTCCTATTTAAAGTAGCTCCTACTATGTCCTTCATTACTTTATAGAACCTATTGCTAAAACCGTCTGGTCCTGGGGTTTTAAAGTATACTAATTTGTTTATTTGTTCCAATACTTCCTCTTTTGTAATGTCTTTGTTTAATTTTTCTCTTTGATCTATAGATATTTTTGGTATTTCCACGTCTTTAATATAGTCATCTATTATCTCACCTGAATTATTTTTAGGTAGGCTATAGAGAGACTTATAGAAATGGTTAAAATGGTTTCCTTCATATATAATTTTATCAATTCTATTATCTGCTTTTTTTTTTTTTAGCTGATTTGATAGAATTTTATCCGCCTTGTTTTGTCGATAATAATACTTAGTTTTTAATTTAAACATTTTTTTTTCTATATTTTATTTTTGATGGTCTGTTTAATTTTTCCTATTTTTATTTGACCTTCCTTATCTGGATTTGTCTTATATTCTTTGATAGTTTGATATAGTTGAATATATAACATAGATAACCCCAATCCTTCTGTTTCTTGTATTTTTTTTTAATCTTTATACAATGCCCTCTAATAGTTGCCTTGTATGCACACCATATTGTTAGATATGACGACTCTGAGGGACTATTTTCTGCAAAAAAATATTCTGAGACTTTTCTCAAAAGTTCTTGATTTTCTTTATTGTATAGAATTGACTCATCTAATTTCCAGGTTGTCCTGGGATGAATGATCTTCCCTTCTTTTAGTTTCAATATGATACTGTTATGATCTGACCAGATCATTGTTTTAATCTCTATCTGTTCTACTTTTTCTATTGTTCTTGAGTCTCCTAGAAAAAAATCTATTCTTTAATAAGAATTGTGGGGCCATAAGTAAAAGGTATATTCTTTGGTTGTAGGGTTTCTTATTCTCCAAATATCATATAGGTTATTTTTTTTTAATAATATTGGAAAAGGTTCTAGTGTTCCTTATGCCTTTTTTATCTATACTTGTATTATTTTGCCTATGTTTATCCATAGCTATGTCTAAAACACAGTTGAAATCCCCCCCGAATAGTATATAGCCCATGGCAATTTTTTCTCCTCGTTCTAGAACTTGAGAAAATAATTTAATCGGGTTGATATTAGGCAGATATACGTTTACTAATGTATAGAGATAACCGTTAATTGTGCAAACTAATATTAAAAACCTTCCTTCTATATCATTATCCTGATGTTGTATTTCTACTTGTATGTATTTTTAAATCATAATTGCCTTTTTTAGAAGTGCTAATTACTAATGGAAAGAATCTTTCACACCAGCTGTTTTTTTCTTTAAGGGTCCAATGTGTCTCCTGTATCAGGGCCACTTGTATTTTCTCAGATACTATATAATCGTTAAATGTCCAAATTTTATGAGGAGTATTTAGACCCTGGATGTTAATTGAGATTAATTTCACCATTTAGTGTCTAATAATGCAACCTCTCATATTTCCTCGGCAGTTATCCTTAACCACAATGACATCCACCACTGTACCTAATTCATTCATACTTCCCATACGCTCATCCATTCTACCTTCTTCTACTAAGATCTCTATATTTCAGAGATCTTCACTCACATCAGCTTAAGATGCCTTCTTCTAGGCAATCTCTAAGTCCTACTAAGAACTCATGGGCGGAGTAATTTGGACGTTGTGGGGGTGGAGATAATTTCTGTAACTTTGTT